CGACAAACCGAAATGAAACGATTAAATAAGATTATCAATAAAAAGAAATGTTAATTTTGAGAAGTTGATAAATCTCATTAAGAACTCAAAACAATAATAATAATAATAACAGTAATAGCCATGACCAACAATAACAATAACAATGCTGATGCAGTATCAGATTAACAACGACAACAGCAACTCATTGATATCACAACCAAACCACGCTGATAAACTCCTTAATCATGAAAACCACTGACATCAAACACAATCAAATCACATTCGAAGATCAGACGCATTCAAAGTAAGCGTATTATTTATCATTACGTATCACAATAATACCATAAAGTTAGGATGCTTTAAAAGCGCCATACACGTATGTTTCCAGACCGGATGCAGTACAAATAAGATAACGCGAAGAAAATGCAAAAACACCAAATTAGTCATATTTGTGATCAAGTGAATGATAACGAATACATATGCACACACTGAAGTAAGTCACCATCAGTGAAACGTTTATCAATGAAACGCTAACGCTAACATAAACTATAGTACATCAATCATTTTATACGGCGACAGAATACATTTAGGGTCAAATTTTTTCTTCAACTCTTTTGCGATATCCACTTCGAGACCTTTGCCAATTTTAGCATACAGTCTTCGTTGCTGTCCAATGCCATGTTCTGCACTGATGCTTCCACCATGTTCCACAGTCCATTCACATAAAAATGGATAAATCCTAGAAAGAATTTCTTTTCGTTTTTTTTTTCAACTTCCCATTTCAGTGAATCCAATGAATGAAAATCCTAAATAATACCTAACAACGTGAAATATGACAGCAATTTGCAGATTTCCTAACCAAGATTACATGTAATCAACACCATTCTTGCCATCTTAATTATTTGAGATTGTGAAATTTCTCACTTCAACTCGCTAAAATTCTCTAAACTTTCAAATTTCACTGAACATGACTGATCAAAACAAATGCATACCCAACACTAAAAGGCATTTACTAATTTTCCGCTTTGAATAGAATTTATGACAATGAAAATTTCCAAAGCACTATGAAACCCACTTGGCCATGAATTCAGGTGAATACTTCTTTGCCGAAATATTGATGTGCATATCACCTTCAGCCATATGTCCAAAACCAATCACACGAGTTGCTAAACCCTTCAATCGTTCTCTCAAAACCTCAACTATTTCATAGTAATGTTGCAAGGGCAGTGTTACATCGTGTTCACACAAAAACCCATCTGGTAAAGCCACAATCGGAAGAATATTTCGTATCTTCCACATATACGATGCTTCTTGAGCGTTCGATGCCTGCAATGAAAATCGATTGCATCGATTATTCGATCTAAACTGTAATAATTATGTGA